AAAGGAACTGAAAAATTGAATTTCTCGAAAGAAAGAAAGAATTTTAAGCATAACCGATAGGTACATATAGGAAAAAATTGGCTTCAGATTGAGTTATGTCTTGAAAAAAATTCTTGTCCTCGGGTCGGGTCGGGTTATATTACAGCCGGGCCGGGCCTGGTCTGGTCGGGTTACGGTTTGGTCGGGTCGAGTCGGGTCGGGTCAAAAAGAAAAAACTCGGGTCGGGTCGCGTCACTAAAAAAGTGACCCATGTCAAACACTGTTGACTACTTCTATTTGTCCGTGATCGGTCAATTCATCGTGGTCTAATTAATATCTAATTAGACTGTGATTCATCGACAACAATGAAAGTTTGTATAGATCATTCATTGTGACTCATCCGTCGTCATCAGCTCATGATCGTTTATGCATCGTATTATTTTCTTTCAATAATTCACTGCTGTGAGTTAGTATTGTATCGTATCGATTCCTAAATGATAGCGACAGCCAATTCTCAGACACTGTCAAAAGAGTCGTTGAAAACATATAAAAAAGTCGAGTTCCTCGAGTCAAACTCGACTGGGCTAGACATAACATGCGGTGCAAAAGTCTTTGCACAAATATCAAGCTCTCTTAGACTATCTTGCCGTCTTCTAAACCAATCAAACTTTTTTTTGTTGGAAAGAGCAAAGTCTGAACTACAAATTTTGTACCAGGCATATTTTCACAGAAAGAATCTGAGAAGGATGAAAAATCAACAACCAAATACCTCTGAAAAAAGTTCTTGCAACGTTTTTGCAACTTGAAAAGTTTGTATTTCTTAATTACTTCGAACTCCAATTATCAAACTTGAACGAAAAATACACCAAACTTTAGCGCATCAAAAACTCTATCAATATCAACATTAATAAAAGTTTTAGATCCGTTCTTGAGTCATTAATCAAACAAGTATTAAACGAGAAATTTTTTAGAAAATCGAATTTTTTGCAAAAACTAGAGGGCTGGACCATTTCCTCCTCTCAAAGAGAAACTGGTCCACTTCAAGGCGAAATGCTTAAACCACATAAAGTCAGAAGGAAACGCTTTTTATATGAACTCCAAACCTCATTCGAACACATCACTCCAACGTTATTCTTCAACGAGAAATCCTTCATCCATGTCTCCATACGCAAGCAGAAATCGAAAAGTATTAGAGAGAAATGGAAAGTTTTTTTCACCTTATGGAAGGTTTCTAGTAGAAATGCATATTTCCTATTGGAAATGGTTATTTTACAAGGAGAAATCGTTCATCCATATCCCCATAAGCGAGCAGAAATCGAAAAGTGTTCGAGACAAATGAAAAATGTTTTTCATCTTAAGGGAGATTTCTAGTAGAAATGGATATTTTCTATTAGAAATGGTTATTTTTCAAGCAGAAATCCTTGATCCATATCCCCATACACCAGGAGAAATCGAAAAGTGTAATATATATATTTCTTTCTTTCCATTTCTCCTCGATATGTGTGACTTTATGTGGGGTGAAGCGTTTCCCCATGAAGTGGAACAATTTCCCCCATCGACTGGTCCAATTGTCCACTGCTGAAAAACTATGACTTTGCAAGATAATCAACCATCATCTTCGGAAATCATGCAAGAACTCAATTCTTTTTGCGTTATTTGTTTGAAAAATGTCAGATAGTAGAAGTTTTGCACAAAAGAAATATTTCAAAAAATATTTTTTATCTTTGTGAAACGGGCAGGTAATAAGAGTGATCAACTTATTTAGTCTCTTTCAGACAAAATTAGCTTATGCTACAAAAACCAAGAGTAAATTTAACTTCCAATATACCATTGGAAAGAACACTCTTTATGCTAGAAAAATCATCATTCAACGTGTTTTCTCATTTCTTTTCTGATGAAAAGAAACTAATAGAAAATAGAAAATGATGTTCCTCGATTATGAAGTTGCAAGGATGTTTTTAGATGTGTTTGCTTTTTGGTTTTTCCTCCTTCTCAGATCCGTTCTGTGAAAATATGTTTGGTACAAAATGTGTAGTCCAGACTTTGCTCTTCCCAACAAAAAAAAGTTTGATTGGTTTAGAAGACGGCAAGATGGTCTAAGAGAGCTTGGCATTTGTGCAAAGACTTTTGCACGCATGTTGTATTTCTAAAAACCGCATTCGAATCGACTCGGTGTCGATCTCTGGTGTGTATATCTTGTAATAAATTGCACTTTTACACTTCAGATTTTCACTGATCTTGTTCGATCGTTCATGGTTCGATTACCATATTAACAAGCTTAAGTATGGCCGCAAAACCGTCAGCAACGAAAGAAAACAAGAAATTTGACGACTTGGTGACCTGTAGGATATGTCTTAAACATTTTATTGATCCACGTTTATTGCCTTGCTCGCACACATATTGTTTTGGATGCATACGCAAAGCAACTTGGTGCACCAATGGTGATTTCATGTGTCCTTTGAAAGATGGAACTACAGTTCAGCGAAATAAGATTGATTCATTACGAGTGAATCACGCCATGGTTGAGTTGGTTGAAAAGCTATCCAACGTGATAACTGAAGATGCTCCACAACAGAAAAATAGTAAGCACTGAAGTGGCAGAAAAACTTTCGAAATACGGACGGGGCATTGACTCTGTGACACTCGTTATACAATCCTACTTAACTGAAAAGCTCACAAAATGTAATTTTTTCCTTGGTGTTCTAGATGCTCCAGAGAAACAGTCAATAAAGTCAACAATTCCAAAGAATTCAGAGTCGGAAGGGTACAATGACCCCGTTGATACTAGGGGTGATCCTAGTGATAATCCGGAAATATTCAAACAAAATATGATATTTATCAGTGATTTACCATCGAACATGCCGAAACAACGTCTGCTCGATGCATTACGGAAAGTATTTTCGACTGTTGGTAAAATTAAAGTAATAACAAGGACAAATTCTACCAAACATATGTTAAATTCGATTATTTCGTATTTAGATTAATCAACAAACACAGGTAGCCTCTATCGATTTATTTAGAAAAGAAGATAACACATCTCAATTAAATGTCACGGCAACGATTACATTTGAACAAGAAGAATCGGTAATGAAAGCAATTGAAAAATATAATGGTAAGCTCGAGTAGAAGCCAGAGTGATGATGAACAGAACATATTATGATGTATATTTCAGGAAAACGTGTACCGATCTTCAACGATGCTCAAATTCGTGTCAAGAAATCAGAAATGACAACTGAAAGAACATCAGCACGAACACCGCCATCAGTGCTGCAAGAAGCGCCGTTACCACTATCGCAAACCTCAGGTAATAAACACTGGCAAAAGGAAAGACTGTTTATGGTTTGGACTGCTAACATTTAACTGCAACTCAGAAGGCTGAGATCGTACTATTTTTCATTCGATCAACTTGATTGAAACTTCTCAATCTTCAAGTTCATTATACAAAAAAAAACATTTTAGCCGAAACCTTGTAGCTGAGAGTTCACTGTTGAAGCACAATCTGAATACGTAAGCAATTTTGTATCTTCCCTATGTGGAAACCCTAGGAGCAAGTACTTCGGGCTTGGGGACTCTTTGACCTCTTGAATGTGGCAGACTGTCACCAATTCTCAGAGAAATGCACGGAGTGCTACGAAGTCTCATGAAGATCAGAAGAGTCCAACAAATCTTCATAGTTTCGTAGTCCTGTTTTTACATTCAAATATAGAGGATTTTTATTCATTTTATGATATATTATACATTGGCGGACCTGTCAGAGGCAGAGAATAATTGTCGCTCCTAGTTCCGTGAGAAATTTTTCGGAAGCAATATAGTTATATTGCTCCTGGCACTGATATATTAGGTTGATGCAAAATTAACGACCGTTTTTATTGATACTAAGTTTATTCAACAATAGAACATCAAAGTACACTCTTAACATGTTTAAATTATCATTCTGGAGCATAATCACCATCTACTTCAATAACTGCTTCCCATTTGCTTGGCAGATAATCAATTCCACGTGCAAAAAAGTGACAATCCTTGGATGCAATCCATGCTTTGACATCAATGACAAGATCGTCCAAATCATCGTAGACTTTGCCCGTTTGCCAATTTTTGAGCGAACGATTGACATGATAGTCTGTAGGAGCTTCAGTGGGAGAATATGATGGGTGCTCGAGCAGTTCCCATCCTTTGTCTTTGATTGATTGGATTACTCGGTGTTCGAAATGTGGTCTGGCGTTGTCATGGTGAAATACGATGTGATTCTTCTTGCGAGGACGCTTGGTTTTGATAGCGGCTTCCAAGCGATCGAGTTGAGCCAGATAGACGTCGCTGTTGAAGTTGTGCTGCTTTTTCCCATTTCTGTCAGGAATTGGCCATTCATACTTCACATCATTGTCGTCCCACCAGTAACAAAAACTTTGTTGGCGAACTTGAGTGATGATTTCCCAGTGGATAATACCGGAGCGGTCCCACCATACACACCACATGGCCTTCTTGCAGTGAATATCTTTTGGAATGCTTTTTGGAGATTGGCCACGGTTAACGCACACCTTCTTTCGCTTAACGTTTTTGAAGAGTAACCATGACTCATCGCCGGTGACGAAGAATTGGAGAAATGGATTTTGCTCATTTCTCTGAAGCAATTGACTGAAGATGCGGACTCGCTCGGCTTTGTCATCATCAGAGAGTTCATGTGGGACCCATCCAGCCAATTTCCATACTTTTCCGAGCTTTTTGAGTCGTCTAACAATGGTGGACTGATCGACGTCGAATTCCTCGGCCAACGTCCGTGTCGTCAAACTTTCGTCCTCCTCCACCGCTTCCAAAAGAGCTTGATCATCAAAATGAGACGGATGACCTCTTCCTTCTTCATCTTCTAAGCTTGTGTTGCCGGATTTGAAACGTTCAAACCATCTTCGAACTTGTCTTTCACCGATTGTTCCTTCACCGAAGAGTTCATTGAGATCACGAAATGCTTCAGCAGCAGTGTGACCTTTCTCGAAGTGATAAAGCATGATATGACGTATATGAACGTGGTTATCGACACGCATTATTATTAAAAAAAAGTAAAGAATTTTATCTGAAAAACAAAGATTGAGACAAAATGCTTAATTATAAAGATTCGAAGGACACTAATAAAAACGGTCGTTAATTTTGCATCAACCTAATACTTTGCTTTTGAATGTATGGTCTCATCTACTTTGGTAAAAAACTATTTTATTTTCTGTAGTATTTATTCGTATTACAAAAAATATTTCTAGTGAAACTTCTGAGAGCTTCCGCTCGAGATCCTCGATAGGTCTTTGTCAGTAGTGTAGAAATCGAAAACTCGATTCGAATATTTGACTATTCGAGTATTTAAGGACACCGGGCATCCACTGGTCAGTGTTAGCAAGGCTGGTTAACCTACAAAACTCGTCACGAGGTATAAGTACTACACTTATGAATAGTCGAATAGTGACATACTCGAAGGTCGTACACTCCAGTCAAGCCGAGTTTTCGATTTCTACATGCATGGTCTTTGTAGAACTTCTTTTTCTTTGTCAGGAAGGGCGTGCATCGCTCTTACTAGCAACAGATGTCGAAGATGCAAACAAGATTTGAAAAACGAGGGTGTGGGTGTCGGGGTGGGTGTAGTTATTCTCTACACCTACCCCCACCCCCACCCCCACACCCACACCCACACCCACACCCACACCCACACCCACACCCACAC